GCGGGAAGAAAACGGCGGGAAAACAAAGCGGTGCCAGGCTCCTTTCCGGTAGGGGCAAGCCGTGTGTGAAACGGCAGCCCTGTACCGGTTCATCTGGAAACGGAAGACTCCCGGCTTGAAACCGGGAGAAGACTGGTAATGTGAAATTCCCCAGTGTTTCACTTCTTCCCCTCTCTTTTGTGCTTTGGAGATTCCTCTCATTACAGGAAGGAAGACAGTGGATATTGGATAGAGGTTTCAGGAAGATATTTTTAGATCTTCCTTCCAGATCCCTCAAGACAAACCAGAAACAAATGTTCCCCTGCTTATGGGGGGCACACAGAATAGACTTGCTAGACTAAACTGAACTATAATAATCCTGTTTAGAAATCTAAAGCAGACTCAGAGGCCTGGTTCTGCAAAATGGCACATAGCTACAAAAGTCTTTGTTTTATGTTGCTGGTTCAACTCTCTTCTGCAGATAAAAGCAAAATTTAATCCTGGAACAGGCAAAATATAAGGGAATTTACCCTGGTCTGTGAAGGATATAAATATAAACATGCAGTGCTGCTCCCTATTTTTAAAAATATACAGGCTAGTTAATATTTTTAAAATTGAAGGGGAATTTCTAAAAAACAAACACAAACCCGAATCCAAATCTAAACCCTGGCCTCAGCTCTACGCTTGTGTTTTTCCAAGGTATTTTGAGACACTGAAAATGTGAGAAGCTACCTGTGGGGCTGAAAAGCCTCTTCTTTTTTAATTAATTCATCTCTCTCCCTACATTTCCAAGGACTGAACAACAACTCTCAAAGCTTATGATCTACATTCTTTTTTGAAATCCCAGCAGTAGACTGATCATTCTTTCCCTGAAGGTAAGCAAAAGCAGCAGTGAAATTTATTTTCTCACACAGAAGCACTCAGAGATAAAGTGCACTCCCACCTGTTGCTAAACTGAGGTTCCACAGCTACTTCCTGTCAGAAAGGGTGTCAAGCTGTTTTCCCCAGCACTTTGTAAATCTGACAGAAGTGTTTCACAGAGGAAGTCTCAAACCACAATGCATCAAACAGTGCCTACTGCGTGGCTTTTCTGCCCCGACAGAGCTCTTGCTGGTCTTATTTTTCAGTTATTTTTTTCCCCTCTGGCAAGCTATTTTGGATCACAATTTTTCAGCATGAGGAGGCGAAATATGCAAAACGGCCCAAGTCTTTTGAACAGCCATCTTGGATGAAGACAGAACTAGCATTTTCTAGGGCTCTGGTGCAATTTGATCACACCATCACCACTGCAATTCAAGAAGCCGCCACAGGGAATTTGATACAGACTGGAGCTATGGCACTCAGGAAGAGGGAGCTAACTCCTCCCCTTACACCTTTCCTGAATTGTAAATGCCCCCTCTCCTTGGATGTTTGGAACCTTAGAAGAGGAAAAAGGCAAGCAAAAAACACATACAAATCTTTCCTTCCTCACAGGACTTGAAGTACAGAGGAGGGCAACTGAGATGATTAGGAGGTTGGAGCACCTTCCCTATGAGGAAAAGGCTGAAGAGTCTGGGACTTTTCAGTTTAGAGAAGAGAGACGACTAAGGGGTTAATGACAGAGGTTTGTAAAATCATGCATGGGATGGAGAGAGTTGGCAGAGAAATTTTTATCCCTCTCCCACAATACTCAAGGCCATCCAATGAAGCTGATGGGCAGTAGGTTCAGGACCGATAAAAGAAAATACTACTTTACACAGAGAGTGATAAAAATGTGGAATTCACTGCCAGAAGATGTAGTGATGGCCACAGGCATAAACTGCTTTAAAAGGGGATTAGACAGATTCACGGAGAATAGGTCTATCAGTAGCTACTAGCCATGGTGAATGAGGGGAACCTCCACATTCAGAGGCACTATTCCTCTTAATCCAAGAGCCAGGAGACAACACCAGGGGAAGGTCTTTACCTCTATGCCTTGTTGTTGGCTGTCCAGAGGAACTGGTTGGCCATTATGTGAGACAGAACATTGGACTAGATAGACTATTGGTCTGATCCAGCAAGGCCTTAAGTTCTTGGAGGAGTGTGTGTGTGTCAATTTCCAGCTGAGGAAACAGCATTGGGGTTGTGGATATATTATTTTATAATAAATAAATAAATAATTTTATGTACTTCATTTATACCCTGCCTTTCTTGCCAATGTGCGTGGCTTACATCAGCCTCCTTTCCCCCATTTTATCATCAAAAAATCCTGTGAGGCAGGTTAGGCTGAGCGCATGTGAATGGCCCAGGATCTACTCAGTCCTGTTTTCTGAGGATTGAGTAGACGTGGGGGAAATTGGGTGAAGCTGCGGAGCAAAATGCGGCCGCACAGCACATGGTGTGAAATTGACACGTAGGATCGGGGCAAAGGGAAGAATGAGCGCGGAGCAGCAGCTTGTGGGAAATCAGCCTCACTAAAAAGCAGCAGGTCATTCAACCCAACCCCTCCACAACATGGTGGCTGCTTTTTGTGGCTGTTCCCCTCCCCCTTTTCCATAAAGTACCATTAAGTACTCAAGTAGCAACCCATGAAGCATTTATGTAAACATTCTTTAAGTGACTCAAGCACTTGAAATGCATTTGCCCTGCCTTTCAGCTTCTCTGGCACCAGCTCCAGTCTCACGTCCAGCATTCTGCCATGTACATCAGATACATCTTTTTGCACATAGGAACATGGAGAATCAGCAGAGGCAATGCACACCACCACTAGGAATTTGAGACATGGCATGCATGCCTACATACTTAAGGTTGCAATCCTAAACTTAGCTATTAGGCAGTAAATCCCATTTAGGATTGGGATGTAAGATGTTCTGTCTTTCCTTGTACTATTCATAGTTGTGTAGAAGAGGAAAAGTTGGCAGCTGCAGCTTGTCATGATAGAGTAAAGGTAAAGGTAAAGGTTCCCTTGCTCGAAAGCCAGTCGAATCCGACTCTAGGGTTGCGGTGCTCATCTCCGTTTCAAAGCCGAAGAGCCAGCGCTGTCTGAAGACATTTCCGTGGTCATGTGGCCAGCATGACTAAACACCAAGGCACACGGAACGCTGTTACCTTCCCACCGAAGTGGTACCTATTTATCTACTTGCAATTTCTTGCTTTCGAACTGCTAGGTTGGCAGGAGCTGAAACTAGAGATGGGAGCTCACTCCATCATGCGGCACCCGGGTCTCAGACTGCTGAACTACTGACCTTCCACAGCCTGCAGTTCAGCGTCTTAACCACTTGAGCCACCGCAGCTCTTCATGATAGAGTACTGCCTATCAAACAAAGCTGTTCACTCATGCATTCAGTTACCCCAACTAAGACAGAGGCAAAACATTTAGGTACAGAAATGAGGATGCCCATCTGGTACCTTCCAAGATTTCTCTGCTGTCTGCAGCAACATGGCTAGAAGGTCCTGTAAGATCATCAACTTCTTCTTCAGCAGTAGCTCTCGATGCAGGGCCTCCTGAAGAGATAAGAAGAAATTAGGCATGGCAAGATATACAAGAGATAAGCATTGTTGTTCCTTAACTCCATCTCTTACCTCAGTATTGACCCTTTCCCTAACTTTGAGGAGGGACCATGGCTCACTGGTAGAGCATCTGCTTGGTATGCAGAAGGTTCTAAATTCAATCCTCAGCATCTCCAGTTAAGGACCACACAGCAGGTAATGTGAAAGACTTCCACCTGAGACCCTGGAGAGCTGCTGCCAGTCTGAGTAGACAATGCTGACCTTGATAAACCAATGATCTGATTCAGTATAAGGCAGCTTCGTGTTCTCTGCTGCTTTTCAAAAGGAAGCGCGAAGCAGCTAGCGCCAGGAGGAAGCAGAAGAAGAGATGTGCTGCTTTAACCCATTTCCCACATTGGGCAACCAGATGCCTCCAAGCAGCCCATGAAAAGGATGTAGAGGCAACAGCCCTTCCTTGCTGTTGGCTCCCAACAATTGGTACTCAGACATACACTGGTTCTGAACTAGGAGATTCTATTTAGCCATAATGTTTAATGGCCACCAAGAAGAAGAAGAAGAGGAGAAGAAGAGATTGGATTTATACCCCGCCCTTCACTTGGAGTCTCAGAGTGGCTTACAAACTCCTTTCCCTTCCCCTCCCCACAACAGACACCCTGTGAGGCAGGTCGGGCTGAGAGAGCTCTTTCCAGAACTGTCCTTGAGAGAACAGCTCTGACAGAACTATTGCTTGCCCAAGGTCATCCAGCCAGGTGCAACTGGAGGAGTGGGGAATCAAACCTGGTTCTCCCAGATTAGAGTCCACGCACTTAACCACTACACCAAACTGGCTCTCAACAAAGCATGAATTTGTCTACTTCCATTTTAAAGCCATTGTAACCCTGACCTGGGTGACCAGACCAACCTGATCTTGTCAGATCTCAGAAGCTAAGCAGGGTCAGCCCTGTTTAGTATTCAGATGGGAGACCACCAAGGAATTCTAGGATTGCTACAAAGAGGCAGGCAATGGCAAACCACCTCTGGGGTTGCCATAAGTCAGCTGTGACTTGATTGCACTTTACACAACCACACAACATCTTAAACAGCAAGTTCCACATAATTCTGGCCTTCAAACCTAAAGTGCTATACAGTGTCCTCAAGGACAGTCCACACGAGGCATGAACTCACAGCCTTAGCATTACACTGACCCCCTCCACCAGTGCCAGTACAGAACCAACCTAGCAGCCTTCACTCATATGCTCCAATAGGCTTGCCATTTGCCTGGCATAAAAAATGGCCTGTCCCTGAATGCAATGTTATTTACCAGGTGAGGTTATTTACCTACACACTATGAAAAGCTTTGGTTGCCCATTTCTACAAGTTTCTGTTAAAAGGACAGGACACGTTTCTCCAGGCTACTTGGCAACCCTATGCATCTATCCTCAAGTCTCTACCTTAGGTTAGAGGCTTAGATTCAGCAACCGTTCTGGGACCAGCTCTCATGAGCCCATCCTCATGCTGTGTTCTGCTGATAAATGTTCCTCACAAACAGCAATCTTAGCTGTAACCTTTCTAGCAAAATACTTTCTCTTGCCTAATCAGTGTTATCACTCTTGTCAGAGTTAGATTCCTTTGTGAAGGAGAACATTATATTATGTAAGAGCAGATCATTGGTCCTACTATGGACTACTATGTTAAGGATTCCAAGCTTTTTCAGAACTCTACTTCATGGGAAGCTGTTACCCATTTAGAAAAATTAAATTAATCATAAGACTTTGTCGATTAAATCTACATAACATTCCATAACTTTAAGGGCCACTGTCGTGCAGTAGTGAGAGTGTTGGACTAGCATCTGAGAGATCCAGGTTTGAATCCCCGCTCTGCGATGGACATTAGCTGGGTGTCCTTGGGCACACACTTGCAGCCTAACCTACCTCACAGGCAATGCTCCCTCTAAGCTGTGGAGTCTTGTGAGCAAAAATTCTACTTTGTGAGCAATTGACAGTAAAATTGTGAGCGAGCGAGCGAGTGAGTGGAGTCATCCTTCCTGAGCTAAGACAAAAATGCATGAGCTGGGAGCTAAAAAAACTGTGAGCTAGCTCACACGAACTCAGCTTAGAGGGAACACCGCTCACAGGGTTGTTGTGAAGACAAAATGGAGAAGAGAACAAACAAACTAAAGGCTAACCGCTATGGCATGGATCCTAAGCAACATGTGCAGAGTCACACTAGAGAAGAGCCATTCTATTGGAGGAGCTGCTGCTGCCCTGACAAAATAGCACCTGTATTTGCCTGTATTTTTGGACGATGCTTGTATACGTTGAATCAAGACCATCTCTTAAAAAGGCAGCCCCTTCTGTACTGGAGAGAAGATGAAATCCCGCTTCTAAAGTGACACCTGCTAGGTACAGTTTTTTGTTAAGGACTTGATTTTAAAAGAGTACCTTCAGAGTTGTTTTCTCCCCTAGAGAGGAATGGCACTCTCTGATACATTGGATCAGCACATGAGATGCCCACCTGCCTACACATCCCCTGCACTGAGAATTCATTAGCAGTCCAGATGAAAAGCCAAAGAAACTGCAAGGTCTATGCAAGTACAGAAATATATGCAAAGGCCCCAGACTATGTGCTACCTTTCCCCCTCTGGTAAGTATTACTTCCAATACTTCAGGCTTCCTATAATTCAAGCCAGGTGATAAGGCACTGAACAGAGGGTACCAAATGATTAGTTCTTGGACTAATGGGCCCTAAATTAGGTTTACAATGAAACTATTCATGAAAATCCTCAGAAATCATTTTCCTAGTGCTCTAACATTACTACCTTCTATTTAATACATCTCATTGCCAGTTCTCTCTTGGTGAAACCCCCGAAATTTAAAGAATAAAGTTGTTTCCAAATCAATAGATGATTTATGGTGCAACGTATCTCATAAACAATTCCATTTGTTGTAATTGCTCACCTTGAGGTAGTTAGAAAGTTGAGTTATTTCCTGAAATTGAAATAAATGCATTTAGGTCTCTCATTGAATTTAACATGGAATTGTAGTATTTGTCAAGGAAATGCAACTTCTGAGGCCAGTAAGTATCAATGTGTGAGCCTCTAAGCAAGAATCTTATTCACAGGGAGGAAGCACATTTTGTGTGTACTGAGAACATGAACAATGTAATCCTAAGGACACGCTCCTGGAAGTAAGCCCTGTTGAACACAGCAGGATTCTGAGTAACCTTACTTAGGACTGCTCTCTAAAGGTTCTGTGCACTTTTGTAGTTTAACTGTGCAATCCTAAGCACACCTACTTGGACGTCCACTGAATATTGTGGGACTTACATCTGAGGAAAACCCACACAAGAAGAAGAAGAAGAGTTTGGATTTATACCCCGCTTTTCACTACCCAAAGCGGCTTACGAACTCCTTTCCCTTCCCCTCCCCACAACAGACACCCTGTGAGGTAGGTGGGGCTGAGAGAACTCTTGACAGAAACTGCTCTTTTTCAAGAACAGCTCTTATCAGAGCTACAGCTTGCCCAAGGTCATCCAGCCAGGTGCAAGTGGAAGAATGGGGAATCAAACCCGGTTCTCCCAGATTAGAGTCCGCACACTTAACCACTACACCAAACTGGCTCTCTAGGCTCTCTACAAGCTAGCACTATAACTCTAGGATATATGATACACTGATTAAGCCTTCTTGGATACTAAAGTTATAAGTTTTGGGGACAATCCAGAACCCTCCTGCATTGTACTAATGTAGCTTTCCCAAGCAACCTGGGACCAGGATACTACATCGCTCAACAGCCTTGAAATAACCACTTAACCCGAAGAGCCTGTTTTGTAGTCCCAGACAGAACGCAATAACTGGCCCCGGCTGGGCTACCATCCACCATCAACCTCAGCCTGGATCTCCTAATTTGTGCTCAGATAACACTGATTATACATATGATTTATACATATATGAAGTTATATTTCCTTGGGGAAATGTTCATGCTGATAGGTGGTGATACAGAGTGGAGTAGCTGGTGTTAATCTGTTCAATGAAACACAAACAAAAAAATGGCTTGTGGCACCTTAAAGAGTAATGGTTTTATTATAGATTAATTTTTCATGGGGATGATTTATTTACCTACTTACTACATTACCTGTCATTCACCTTTCTTCCTGAGATTCAGGGTACATTACACAATTAAAAGGATGCATCTGTTAGTGTGCTCTAACCTACAAATCCTTGTCTTTAATGGTCCTTTTTGGTGTTCTGTCAGTTCTTGACAGGGCTGTCAGGTCTGCTCGCCATACCAGCAGGGGGGATTTGGGGGGCATTCCAGGACATCCCAGTGCAATGACATCAACTGGAAGTGACGTCATCACATTGGTGACACTGCATGGTGACACTCTGGTTTGAGGGCAAAGCTCTATTGTTTTAGGCCAAATTTACCATAGACTTTTGTCCTCAAACCAGACTGTCCTGTGCGACATCCCCAACGTGATGACATCACTTCTGGGTGACATCACCGTGTCAGGAACGTCACACGGGGATGTGGCCCTTTGGGGGTGGGGTTTCCCCTAAAACCAGGGGGAACCCCTGCCGGGACCTGGGGACTGGCAACCCTAGTTCTTGATGTCTAATGGAAACAGGATTCCCGTCAGGGCGGACTGGCTATTTAACATACAGGGAAATTTCCTAGTGGGCCACTGCCTGAGAGGCCTTTTGGTGGCCAGGAGCAAGCACAGTCAAACCTCAGGGGGTGTTTGGCCCAGACCCCTCATCAGCTATAACAGTGGATGTCAGGTCACCAGTTGTCTCCTCCTGCACTCCTTCCAGTTTGGGGGAATGATACAATGGGTGAGCTATCACCCATTGTCTGCCCCACTGAACTGAGTGGCCCTGCAGCGCTAGCTTGTAGCACCACACGGCCACTTAGCGTAACTTGCTCCAGTGCCATTTTCACTTCCCAGTCTGCTCCTGGTTTTCATTTGCTTTTGTTTTTCTTACCTTATCTAAAACTGCTAT